TCCTCCATTTTGGTGCACACTGGCGGAGCCAGGCCTAGGAGGACTCGATGGCTTTCGGGGCAGCCGTGCTCTCCCCGCTCCCTTGTCCTGCAATGTGCTCGTCTCAAACTCTCGCCGGCCCGGGGGACCTGACGTTGCTTCTCTCTCCCGCAGGGGCACAGATCGACGACAACATCCCACGCCGCACGACTCAGCGCATCGTGGCACCGCCCGGCGGACGTGCCAACATCACCAGCTTGGGCTAAGGACCGACCCTTCTGTGCCCGCCTCGCGGCCCGGGGCACGGGGGCACCTGGAGACCCTTCCTGATTCTTTTAGAGCCTGTGACAGTTACTGCGGGCAACCAGTGGGGGGGGGCTGAAGTAAGGCGCCTCTTTCAGTCCCCTCAGATTCCCTCCTCATCTTCACCAACCCCTCTCACTTCCCCCCTCAGCCCCATCACATTTAAAGAAATAAACCCTGTTTTGACACCTCTGACATGCAAAAGTAAATGTAAAGAGGGTGTTTGAGATATGTGGCCTCTGTCCCATTTGGCATCTTTCTTTTAATAAAGGAAGGATAAAGTGAATTTCCCGGGAGCTGCCTTTAAGACACACACACAAAAGGAATAAATAAGACATTTCAAAAATAGCTTTTTTTTTTTTTTTTAAATGTCAAGCAGAAGAGTAGTTCAAGGGTTTTAAACTGGATATTCTGTAGAGTTCTGTGTTCCAGAAGAATAGCTAGGCAAGCAGGGAGGGACAGGAATCGCAGCCTGGCTGTAACCATTCCCCACCACCGCCTCTGAGGTCACTGCGTAGCTGTCTGCTGCCAAGAGAGAGAAACGGGACCCAGCACTAGGAGCTGACAAAGCGCATCGCACCCAGCCATCGGGTGAGCTAGAATCGTTGGGGACTTTGGTTCTGTTGGTTGATTTTTTTCTCTCTCTCTTTTCTTTTTTTTTTTTTTTTTTTTTCCTTTCTGGATTTTGCTGCAAATTAGGTCCTTGAGGAAACACTTTTTTTTTAATGTTTGTGTGTGTGTTTTTAATACGTTTGTATCATTGTGTTTACGAAGCCTTATCTGAGGACTGGGGTTCTCCCTGTTCTTCCTGATCCTTCCTGATCCTCGTTCAAGTTACAGACTCCCGCCAGTGTCACTGCCACTGCCACCCTGGTACTTCAGGTATTCCTAGGTTGCATCATTCCAGCCAACGCTTGCCACTTAGCTGCAACAGGAGGTCGTGGAGCAGGTTCATAAGCTATGATCTTCACTTCGGTGTACTAGGTCTTGAGCTGGTGCGAACAAAGGGGCTGGATACCAGCTGAGGAGCTGGGACGGGGTCTCTGGAGAAGTTTTTAGCAGCTAGCTTGTCTTCTGTTCCTGGAGGTGGAAATCGATAAGCAGGGGACCGTGGGCAGAGAGCACCATGTTGCTGGAAAGATTTTTTTAGCAGCCGCCTTGCCCCTTCCTGGCCATCGACGAGTGGTTATTTAAAACGTTTGGAGAGCTTATCTTTAGCTCCCTTCGAAAGGCTGGTCGGTTGAGTATGCGCCTGAGCATCTGTGGCAATTCCAGTTCGAGTCCAGCTGCCCAGCTGTTGTAACTGGGAGCCTCAGAGCAGCTCGATGGGTCAACAGCAGCTGAGAATCTCTCGTAGACGGTGCAAATTTGAGAGTCACTCGTTCCTTCAGGCATCTGCCTTCGCTCAAATATTTGTGAGAAAGCCTGGTGGTTCCCCACCCTTCCTCAGGTGCCTGCTGCCCCAGATCTGAGACACCAGAGGCCATGAGTGGTCCTTGAATGGAGTTAGGAGCCCCGGTTTCTGTGGCACTCAGCGGGATCTGGGCGTTTAAGTATCTCCTGGGATTGAAGGACTGCCGTAGTATTGGAGGCTCATTATTTTCAGGACATGGAGAATAAATCTGCACCATTAGATTCCCACTTAAACTTAGCTGGAGGGCTCAGCGGTCCCAAGGACTTGGCCTGTCTCTTAGCCCGGAGAGATTTTCTACCCGCAGTTAACACAGCGTTGCCTCCGCTCTCTCTGTGCCCTGGCGCTTGGCTGCATCTTCTGCTCTCTCTTCTCTTTGTACTTCGCCACATACGTTGACCTTGTTTTTCCATATTTGTGAGTATTTTCTTAAATGGTGTTTACAGGTTCTTTTAGGGAAAAAAACGATATATATGAAGGTTTTTACGAAACAAATACCAAATTTGTTGTTATGAAGTATCAATGCTAGGATTTGCAAAGGATCTGGAAGCTATGTAGGTACCCAAACCCTCCCAGCTTCCACACCTAATTCCTTTAGGCCTCTTTGAACACAAAAGTTTAGAAAAACATTGCCATATTCATCCATGCATTTTGCATTTAGGTTTAACTCTTGGGTCTTTTAGTTTTGCATAAAAGAGTTTGCACTTTGTTTGTTAAGTAATCCGTGAACTTAATATATATTGCAGCTATTTTCATTTTTTTTTCACCTGTATGTTAAAATCAGTTCGAACGAGTTGAGGAGAAAAAAAAAAAAGAATTGCAGATCCGTTTCAATTCTACGAAACACTTGCGGCTCTTCAGTATTCACTTAAGTCTTCCTTTTTTTTTTCCTTCACTGACTCATGATGACTTTTTAGTTTTACTTTGTTCTTCAAAAGGAAAAAAAAAATGACAAAAAAAGATTTTGCAGGCTATGTAAGCATGTTTTTTCCTGTGAGAGCTCGTCCGCTTTGTGTCTGTTTAATGAATGTCATATGTAAATGCTTAAAGAAAAAAAAGACGATGACTTAATTAATTAATTAACCGCAGTGACTTGAAGCTCTAAAAATAAAAAAAAAGTAGGATTTAATACTAGCTGGATTTAACCCTTGGATTTGTGATTGTGAACCATGAGTGGAGGAGCTGTAAGTGCTAAAGCTGATCATGTGTGTAGACAAAAAAAAGTACTGATATTTGACCATTGTCTCAATGGCAAAAAAACCCACCCCAACCCCAAGTCTTGTGTTTTATTCCTTAAGAACTCTGTGTTATATTACATGGGAACTCCTAATAAAGACAAAATGTTGTTGTTTCACTAGGTGCATCTGTGTCTCAAGGCGATAACGTGTTCTGTGTAACTGCATACCTTGGCTGGTGCCTTCAACAGTGAAAAACTGCGCTCAGAACTGGGTGCTCGTGTAGGCTGATGGTGGTCCTGTGCAGGAGTGAGATGCACAGTAGCCACGGTTCCTTGGAAGATGGTGATGGTAAAGAGGAATCAACGGTCCACAGTATAATTCCCGTAGGGAAAAGCAATCCTCTTCTCTGGGCAGTTTTCTGTTTAAGGCAGCATTTGGCAAAGCAGAGACATTTGCCCAAAACCTCCCGGCTCTGCATTGCAGAGATCACTGATGAAATGCGAGCAAAAGAAGTTAAAACTATTGGCGTAGCCCTCAGCCCTCCAATGTGTTTCTACTTGGACCCTCGTAACAGGGATGGAGGAGGGGAGAGAAAGTACAGCCTTAAGTAGAAGCCACCCACAGATAACTGAATGGGGAGTGCTAGAGCTGGCTGGAGAAATGCCAGGGAAACTTTATAGTGTGGTGGTTGGGTTCTACTGCGTCGTGGGGACGCTGTGAGAGCGCGGCGGATCGTGGGAAGGGCTCAGAGGGAGCCCAGCGTCGCTGTCAGCCGCTTGGACCGTTGGTCACTGCATGCCTACATCCGCAAGATCCACCCAGCCGGCGGTCTTCCCCCAAATCCGAGCACAGCTGGAGTTGGCAACTTACTTTGCAATGATGTTTAGCTCGTCTTCCTCATCTGAGCAAAACCAAATGTTTCGGTGCCCTGTGAAATGCAATTGGCTTTCTCCACGCAGCTTTAAACCTGGCCCCCCTGTGCAGGGGGAGTTTTGAAGAGGGTTTCCTTCCTATCCGTTCAGAAGGGGCAATGGTCACCCAGACTTCTAGTCAGTGTGGGGGTCCCAGCTCCTGTCACCCATGACGTGCAGTTATTTGGCTGCTGGCAGCTTGAATTAGGTACTAGCATATATGCAGTCAAATCCCAGAGAGCAGGACTAGTGGGTTGCTGTGTATAAGATTTATTAGCTGGTCACAAACCTGGTCCTTGTTGGAACAGGCCAAAAAAAAAAATCCACTGAAGCACATAGAAGTTTTTGAGGTCAGGAAGAAGTCATCAACAGCCAGATCTAAACCTAGCGCGTACTGGGGAGTCGAGCGCTGAGAAATCTCAGGAAGATACTCGTGTCAGCGGGGCAATGCTGGTTTGCTGCTACACAAGAGCCTGGGAATAGCTGTATTTTGTCAACCCGTTAATCCAGGTAGCTCCGCACGCTGGCAGCCATGGAGGCCCAGCTCATGAGGTAGGCGCTGACGTGGTTCTCTGCAGGCCGCCGTTGACTGGTCTGTGGCCACGCGTGCATAGATCTAATCTGACCTTAACATTGATACACAATTAGTGGCTAAAAGGAGAAGAAAGCAAGCAGCGGATGAATTTGACTCGGCGGCCTGGAACGCTAGCTGTCAGCTGGTGCGGAGGGGTGGATTGTCAGAGCTGAGGACAACGTAGCTTGATTTACTGCGTAGTGGAAGTGTGTTGGGAGCCATAGTTGTCACCGATCCTTGCACCTCGGCTCTCCGGCTTCAGCGTGTGCCAAGACCTAGCGCAGCATTTTCAAAGCCAAGGCTTCTCTGACCTAGGGCTCGTTCATACCTCTATGTCTATCCTAATCTATATCCATATAAAAGCGTATGTATGTGCCTCTGTCCAACGCAACCGGTTTTGCAGCAGGCAAGGTTAATTTGCGCTATTTTCCTACAAGCTAAAACCAGAGTTTCTGCAGTACCTTCCACCACAGTAATTTGGGGGGTGTGAGTGCGTAGGCCCCCAAGGCTCCTTGGCACTACGGACCGAGTCGCTTTGCACTTCAAAAAACCCGACCGTTGGGTAACTCTTAGCGTGTGTTACGACGACCGGGCTGGGAACACGGCATCACGCCCCTAACGAAGGTACTACATATGACTCCAGATAGCTTGTGCAGAACAAAAGTCCTACTAATTAATACTAAGTTTAATTAATCCCAAGATTTTTACGACTCCAACATTTAAAGCATTTAGTACTTCTAGCTGCTTGCTCTGCGTGGGTGGAGGCTGTATCTTCAGAACCCGTTTTCGCCCCGTTTTTAGCACGAAAGGTGGAGGTTGAGCTCGCTGCCATTAGGTGGCAGCAGGACATGAAAAAAGAAAATTGCAAACTCCCTCGAGGCACATGGATTATTTTAAGAATGATGTGGCATGTAATAAATGTAGAACATGCACAGGGCTTATGATCACTGTGACAGAGAGATGACATACACATATATCCTCTCTATTATATTAATATATTGGATAGTATTTCAATGTTAAAAAGATATGAATCATCCGAGTGTATTCTGTTATAGCTTAAGCTTTACAAGACGCCCGCCTATAATAAAATACAGAGCAAGCCGTAAATTTTATCGATCAATTTAGTTAGAGGGAAAAAACCCAAACATTCTTACTAAAGCAGATTTTGGCTTTTCTCCAGAAAAGTGTGATGTCTAAAACCAGAGGTAAGGTAGATTTGAAGAAAGGGCAGAGTTTTCTGTCCTCAGAACAGGTTCTGTTTCTTCCCTGCCTTTTCCTGC